ACAAAACGCAACAAGGTTGAATCGTGGTTACGCTTGTAAAGGATGTCGTTACTGATGAAGAACTTCGCCGCGAACCTCCTTAGAAACTTCTTATCATTAACATATGCACCCTCGGGGTACTCCTGAGCTTCAAGATACCTCTTCACCTCATGAAACCAGGGTTTATCTGTTACCTCTTCAGTCTCAATGTCACAGCAATGTGCAGGTTCATCCAATCTCTCAATGGTAATCTGGGGAGCCTCGTTGTCCCATATGACCTTGAACATAGAAGACATCATAGCTAGCGCATCCGCCAACTGATTCTCCTCTCTAGGGAAGTGTTCAAAGGTTATCTCTTCGAAGTGTAGCAGCAAAGTCAACACATACTCCTTGTAAGGAATAAGATTAGGGTGTTTCATATCCCACTCGCCTTTGATCTGACTGATCACGAGAGCGGAATCTCCAAAGACACTTAAGAACTTAATCCTTAGGTCAATAGCTGCTCGAAGACCCACAATGCACGCTTCATACTCCGCCATGTTGTTGGTGCAGTTGAAACATAGTCGGGCGGTGAACGGAGTATGAGAGCCTTCAGGAGATATGATCACGGCACCAATGCCATTACCCAAAGCGTTTGAAGCTCCATCAAAGTACATAGACCATCGAGATCCCTCCTCAGGTCCTTCATCCGGTCCAGGTGTTTCACAGTCAATCACCAACATAATGTTCTCATCCGAGAATTCAAAGTTCATAGACTGGTAATCGTCCACTGCTTGATGTGCCAAATGATCTACCAACACACTTCCCTTGATTGCTTTCTGGATCGTGTATTGAATGTCATACTCAGTCAAGATCATCTGCCATCTCGCTATTCTTCCGGATAAGGCAGGCTTTTCGAAGATATACTTGATTGGATCCATCTTTGATATCAATAGAGTAGTGTGAGTTAGCATATACTGTCTCAGCCGGTGAGCAGCCCATGCCAAAGCGTAGCAAGTTTTCTCAAGCAACGAGTATCGGGTCTCGCAGTCGGTAAACTTTTTGCTAAGGTAGTAAATAGCATGCTCTTTTCGGTCAGACTCGTCATGCTGCCCCAACACACACCCTATTGAATTATCGAGTACTGTCAAGTATAAGATTAAAGGTCTCCCTTCAACTGGAGGCATCAGAATAGGTGGCTCTTGGAGATATTCTTTGATCCTTTCGAAAGTGACTTGACATTCATCGTTCCATCTTACCACTTGATCTTTCTTCAGTAACTTGAAGATTGGCTCATAAGTAGCAGTTAGGTGTGAGATGAACCGGGCAATATAGTTCAGATGTCCCAGAAAGCCTCTGACTTATTTTTCTGTTCGGGGAGCTGGCATTTCCTGTATAGCCTTCACCTTTGCAGGATCCACTTGAATACCTTTGTCACTTACAACGAAACCCAACAACTTACCAGATCTCACCCCGAAGGTGCACTTGTTCGGGTTTAACCTTAGTCTGTACAACTTCAACCTGTCAAATAACTTCTGAAGATGGTCAAGGTGTTCTTCCTCAGTCTGGGACCTTGCAATCATGTCATCAACGTATACCTCAATCTCATGATGAATCATGTCGTGGAACAAAGCGACCATGGCGCGCTGATACGTTGCCCCAACATTCTTCAATCCGAAAGGCATGACTTTGTAGCAAAAGGTACCCCATTGAGTAACAAAGGTTGTCTTCTCCATATCCTCGGGAGCCATTTTAATCTGATTATAACTGGATAATCCATCCATAAAGGAGAAGACCTAATGCTGTGCGGTGTTGTCAACCAGAACGTCGATATGAGGCAGAGGGAAATCATCCTTGGGGCTTCCCCGGTTCAGATCCCTATAGTTAACACACATTCGGACCTTACCATCTTTCTTTGTCACCGGAACCACGTTGGCCACCCACTGCGGGTAAGAAATAACTGCTATAAAACCGGCATCAAACTATTTCATAACTTCAGCCTTGATTTTCTCAAACATCTCCGGGCGCATTCGGCGGACTTTTTGTTTTACTGGAGGACAGTCTTCCTTGGTAGGCAATCGGTGAACCACAATATCAGTATCAAACCTAGGCATATCTTCATAAGACCAGGCAAATATCTCAACATAGTCACACAACATCTGAATCAACCATTGCTTAACACTAGATTCCAGATTTGCACCGATCTTAACCTCTTTCTTGTCTTCCTCTGTACCCAGATTTACCGTTTCCACTGGCTCTTCATGCGGCTGTATGGCCCTCTTTTCCTGAAGTAACAATCTAGTAAGTTCACCAGGAACTTCGCAATCATCCTCACCTTCGTTCTCGGCTTGGTTGATCGAACTTTTGAAGTCATAATTGGCAGTAGAAGAGTCGTTGTCAGTGGGATCCAGAGTGGATGTAGACCTGTATATGTGAGTGTGTGCAAAATAGCTATTTTGCAAGATAGAAAAGAAAAACAAGGAGCGCACAATTTGTAATGCAAGAAAGACGTCCAATGCTTTTATTAATGATATATGGAAATGACACATAATAAGCCCTCAAACAAAGCCACGGTGTCTCGGGTAAGGCACCGGGCCGTAAAATTTAAAATTGTCTGTTACAAATTCAAAACAAAAGTCTATTACTGTGTGATAAAAGAAACGGGCATGTAATCCATTACCGTCCAATTGCTCAAGCCACCATCAGTAGTCGGGTAAATCCAGCTGTCAATATCAAACTCTTCATCATCATCCCCAATAGCATTCACTACATGATTTGGCATAGGAGCAGTCATAACATTAGGTTTTTCTGGAGCTTCGAACTCAATCTCCTTAGTGTCAATCAGATCTTGTACCTTATTCTTCAAGGCCCAACAATTATTGGTATCATGCCCCGGGCTATCAGAGTGATAAGCACAGCGGGCGTTTGGATTGTACATCGGTGAGGTGGTGTTGGGATTCTTCAGAGCTTCCCTCGGAATCACCAAGTTAGTCTTCAACAACTGCGACAGAATTTGATATAAAGCCATGCTGAGCCGAGTAAATTGTCTTTGAGGCCTCTCTGCCCTTGGCTGATTGTTGTATTGTGGGGTAACAATTGGTCTTGAAATAACTACCGCATTAACTGTTTGGCGGCGCTCGGGTCAACTTTGGCTCCCCGAGCTATAAACTGCTCTAGACTCCTTCTTGAAGGGCTTCTTCTCGATACTTGACGAAGCACCTTTCTGTAACTTGCCACTCTTGATACCAGCTTCAACCCTTTCCCCAGTCATAATTAACTCAGTAAAACCTGACAATGAACTTCCGATCCAATGGTTGAAATACGGACCAGACAAGGTCCCCAAAAACATATCCACCAACTCCCTGTCAGCCAGAGGGGGTTGGAATATACCGACAAGATCTCTCCATTTCTGAGCGTAATCTTTAAAACCTTCGCTCACACCCATAGACATACCCTGAAGTTGGGTACGCGTAGGAGCGAGGTCAGTGAAACAACCGGCTGAAAATCATCAAAACAATGAAGTCGCCATCGAACGTCTTTTATCCCACATGTAGGGAAAGGTAAACATCGAGAAAACCTGAGAAGGGAGAAGTCACGGTCTTGCGACCGAGAGATCGGGTAAGGGAGTCTGTTACGTGAGGGGAAGGTATTAGCACCCCACATGCCCGTAGTACTCTACGGTATCCATTCTTGTTATCTATCATATGGGTGTGTTCAATCTATGCTTACTGTTTATTATACTACTGAAGGAGAATGCATGCAAAAGAAAGGGAAAAAGAATGTAGGGAAAATAAAATTATGCTCGCTTGGGCCCTACCCCAATGCCTACGTATCCTTTTTGAGGAATCAGAGCTACCGTAGTTCGGCTCATATGTTTTTGTTTGTTTGTGTTTTTTTTATGGACGAAGTTAATTCCGCCTTCTACCGCAGCTCGACCTTTGGAGACTTATGCGTTGGCACAGAAGTAAATTAATCATGTCCTTACCTGAAAAGGTTTTTTTTAGAAAGGTGCTTGAGCGTGCAAATGGTTTGAGTTGGTTTGTATTTTGTTGTAGATGATGATTGATTGACCTCAAGAGAGAGGTATTAGCCATTTTTCTACTTAGTCATGAAAGGAGTCTTTGAGAGTTGAACCACACCTATGCTTGAGATGGAGAACAATAAGATCAAGAAGAGACCCGCTTATCGTTTCCCGTACTAAGCAAAAGTATGATTCTCATCCGTAGTTTTAAAGTGTTTTGAATTTTGAAAGAAAGAGAAAGTTTTAGTTTTAGATGCGTATGCAAAAAGGGAAGAAGAGTTAAAGGGGAATTAGCCTATTTCTAAACCTGATGCTATCGTGCATTGTTAGCCCTAAAGTTAGAATGAATGAGGGAATTCTACCTAATGTTAGCACGCATATGGTTTGCGATAAAGTACTGAAATAAAGAATAAAATAGAGTTGTGACGATACCGAACGGAGAAGGTCCGTTGCCTCTTCAAAATTGTGCAAGCGGTAAGAAAATTCTATCAAAGTTCCCTTGGGCAAGTGATTGAAGAATTAACCCCGAGTATTCCACATTGCAAGAGTTATATCAATGCTATCACAAAATCTAGGCTAAAAATGGCAACAAAAAGGATTATCGAACATGAAAAGAAATATTATAAAATTCTAAAGAGAAAATCTAGGAATTCTAAAATATTTCCTAAAATATTCTAACTATTTTTAGGTTATTTTTCATGCAATAAAAATTAACAATAGCAAATAAAAGGAAATTGATAAAGAAAAATAATATATAAATGTGAAGAGTTCAGGGGTGCTAAGCTGGATTCAGGGGTGTAAAGTAGTTGAAATCTGGGCGTTAGGCCTAATCAGAAAAAGTCTATTAGCAGTTTTTTTTTTGGAGTCAAACTCTTCAGGTGGTCAAAAACATGTGGCAGTGGGCCTCTAGGGGTGTAGGAATGGCTCAATGAAATTGATCCAGAAACATTTTTTTTATCTAATTTCAATTATTATTATTATGATTATTTATGAATAAAAAAAATTCAAAGAATAAAGAAAAATGGAAATAGAGCGTTGGCGTTTTGCGAGTGGGATAGGGTTCAAGAGAATACGTTGTTTCAGTTTTTCTTGCAGCGCCGCTACTTCCACCGTCTTCGTCCGTTTTTGTTCTGATCTCCTTCACGATCCACTCCGCCCTCAAAGCTTTGATCTCCTTCATAATTCCGCTAATCACCTTCGATGCGGCATCATCACCTCAACATCTCCACGATGTCATTTTCCATCAACATCGTCATTCAACTTTGATGCGGCGGTATCAAGCTCGACTTCACCTTCCACTTTGAAGTTTCAATTCAAGAGCTCGCTTCGGTTCGGACATTCACAGTATCACCAATACGTTCAAAGATTCAAACGAAGAAGAACAGAAATCATAAAAGCATGAGCATACCGTCTTAATGATCGGAGTAGTTCCGGTGACCCTTGAGTCTTGATGATGACCTAGAAAACTAGAGCTGAGATGTCAACCAGGTACGATTGTGACGAAACTTTCGATTTCGATCTTCTCCTTCTACCTTTCTTGCGTTCGTGAACTTTTTTATTGGTTCAAACGATGATGATGTGGTTATTTCTGATTCATAAACAAAGAAGTGCGACGTTGGTGGTGTTGTTCGTTGTTGTAGAGAGGAGGAGTATGCAAGGATTTTGTTGATGATGGTGAATGTTGGTGATGAAGCAGTTCTTGCGATTATGATGTTGCAGGTTGTTGAGGAAGTATGCTTGTGGTGTAAAGATGATGATGATAGATATTGAGGATTTTGATGCGATTTGCGGAAGATCAAGGTTGAAGAGAACCCTGAGGATTGAAGACGAAGATGCTTGAAGATTAAAAATGAAGAGGTTTGAAGAATTATGAGTTCTTGAGAGTTGCAGAGGAATTTGTCAGAGAATAATTTAGAGGTGTGTTTCTCTCTCTGAGCTTCTGTTGTTTATCTGGTGAGTTTCTTTTTGAATAATCGTATTCTGGTGTAGAGAATAAAGGGAGTTTTTCTGGTTTTCTCCTCCCTGAATTCTTGTGAATTTTTGTCAAGTGAATAATCGTATTCTCGTGTTGAGAATAAAGGGAGTTTTTCTGGTTTTTTCCTCCCTGAATTCTTGTGAATTTCTCTTCTGAAGTTTGTTGAGTTCTGTTTGACAGTTAGTTCTATTCGGTTAGGGGTTGGTTAGGATTTATGAATTCTGTTAGGATTGGTTTTGACAGTTGGAAGTTTGTTACAGTTAAGTTAGTTTGTTGTAACTGTTTTGGGTTTGTTAAGTTAGTTACAGAGCTGTCTCTATTTTTGGGTTATGGAATTGGTTTTGACAATTGGAAGTGTAGTGTATGTGTTATAGTTACAGCAGGGCTGTTTTGGAATTGGGATTCAGTTTTTGAAAACAGTTAGGAGGTTCAGAAATTGTTAAATGGTTGTTTTGTAATTGGTTATGATATGGTTTTGACAGTTAAGGGTTGTTAGAATCTATTTTGGTTATTCTGGAATCTGAATGAAACTGTTAAACATTTGCTAATTGTTTTGCATTTTTCCCTAAGCTAGTTTTATTTATTTGATACAGGGCTGCAGGTTTTGGCATAGCTGGAGAATTGATCATGGTCATGATTTAGAAGCTTGAAAAGGGCTTAAATATGGATCTCATGGAGTTTTGTCAAAGGAGGTTATAGATGAGGATTGATGACACTTGGATGGAGTTTTGGTAGATTTAGGCTTTATGTCTTAATGCTTCCTTGTAAATTTTTTTTGATGTATTAAAATATGACAGGAATGTAACCTTAGAAAATACTTGAAATGATGTAATGATTTATGGCGTAGATGGTCATGACTTTTGGAAACTTTGAGATGGTGATGTTGTGCTAGAATAGGTGATATACTTGGCTTGTATGGTGAAATTGCTTGAATCTTGATTACTATTGAATCTCTTTTAATACTTGGTGGAAATTTGAATTAACCTTGAATGTTCTTGAATGGTCATGTCTTAAAAATTTGTATTGAAACTTGTGACTTGTTCTTTGATTTCAAGATAAACCAGGAATGAATTACCCGTACTTTAAAACTTTGATCATCTTTACAATTCCGCAACTCCAAATCTCCATGAAAAGTTCAAATCACCTTGAGACCTTAACTTCCAATTTCAAATTACCATTCCATTCACAAACCCTTGACTTGACAACTAATACCATATCAATGCCTTAAAGAACCAACGAGGAATGAATATGGAAGTATACATGACCAGGATAACTTTGACATGAACATCCAATGAATCTCAATTGATGGGTATTGCAAGCTCAAAACTCCATGAATAAGAAACCATAATCCTCTCGACTTGGGTGCCTTTTGAATGAAGGAACCTCTTGAGATATTAGCCAGAACCAAAACATCAACTTAATAAGATCCTTAGCTGATGGTGACAACCTTGTACCTTGATCAAGAATCTAAACCCTAGTTCCATAAACCAGTTACTGGGAAACCAACTGATTCAAGCCTGAGTGAAGATGAGGACCATCAAAGCCATAGAAACCCTAATTCCATCATATCACTGATTCCATGTCAAATTATGTTGTTAGCGAATGTATGCAATGTTAAATGACCTAATGAAAATATGTACATGAGAAAAGCGCGACAATGCATAAACTAGATAAAAGTAAAAGGGGTAGGACAAATTTGGGGTATTACAGCTGCCCCTATTTAATCGTCTTAAACCTGAAAGTACGATTGGCACATGCCTTTCGGAAGTTCAAGGTTGAAGATGATTAAATATCAATGCCAAAAATTTGTCCTGAGAGAGAGAGTAAGTGTTTTCTTTATTTATTTATTTTTTGATATCTGCTGGGGGAAAGAAATTTTTTTTCTTCCAATGAAGAGACAGAGACTGGACTTGTAACGTGGCTTGATGCCAATACAAGACAAATGGTTGGTATGAAAAGACAGCGAACGGGGTCTACGGGTGACCTACGATCCTAAGGTGACACATGAGAGTGATTTGACAGAGAACCTAGCCAAAGGGCGATCTCAGGTTCTAAGACAAAGTATATGGAAGGAACCTAACCGAGAGGCGATCTCAGGTTCGACGATGATTTGAGGGAAGAACCTAGCCAAGAGGCAATCTCAGGTTCGACGATGATTTGAGGGAAGAACCTAGCCAAGAGGCGATCTCAGGTTCGACGATGATCTATGGGAAGAACCTAGCCAAGAGGCGATCTCAGGTTCGACGATGATTTGAAGGAAGAACCTAGCCAAGAGGCGATCTCAAGTTCGACGATGATTTGAGGGAAGAACCTAGCCAAGAGGCGATCTCAGGTTCGACGGTGATTTGAGGGAAGAACCTAGCCAAGAGGCAATCTCAGGTTCGACGATGATTTGAGGGAAGAACCTAGCCAAGGGGCGATCTCAGATTCAACGATGATTTGAGGGAAGAACCTAGCCAAGAGGCGGTCTCAGGTTCGACGATGATTTGAGGGAAGAACCTAGCCAAGAGGCGATCTCAGGTTCGACGAAGGTTTGAGGGAAGAACCTAGCCAAGAGGCGATCTCAGGTTCGACGATGATTTGAGGGAAGAACCTAGCCAAGAGGCGATCTCAGGTTCGACGAAGGTTTGAGGGAAGAACCTAGCCAAGGGGCGATCTCAGGTTCTAAGAAGGAAACATGGGTTACGACACGATGATTGTTTAGATAAGCGACACGGACGAGCATCAAGAAAGTTTAAACACGGACGAGTGTTTGAATCAATACAGATGAGTATTGAAAGAAGATACGGACGAGTATCAAAAGTTAAACACGGACGAGTGTTTGAATCAATACGGACGAGTATTGAAAGAAGATACGAACGAGTATCAAAGGTTAAACACAGATGAGTGTTTGAATCAATACGGACGAGTATTGAAAGAAGATACAGGCGAGTATCAAAAATGAAACACAGACGAGTGTTTGATTCAATACGGACGAGTATTGAAAAAAGATACAGGCAAGTATCAAAAGGTTAAACACGAACGAGTGTTTGATTTAATATGGACGAGTATTGAAAGAAGATACATGCAAGTATCAAAAGGTTAAACACGGACGAGTGTTTGATTCAATACGGACGAGTATTGAAAGAAGATACAAGCAAGTATCAAAAGGTTAAACACGGACGAATGTTTGATTCAATACAGACGAGTATTGAAAGAAGATACAGGCAAGTATCAAAAGGTTAAACACGGACGAGTGTTTGATTCAATACGGACGAGTATTGAAAGAAGATACATGCAAGTATCAAAAGGTTAAACACGGACGAGTGTTTGATTCAATACGGACGAGTATTGAAAGAAGACACGGACGAGTATCAAAAGGTTAAACACGGACGAGTGTTTGAATCAATACGGACGAGTATTGAGAGGAGATACGGACGAGTATCAAAGGTTAAACACGGGCGAGTGTTTGATTCAATACGGACGGGTATTGAAAGGAGATACGGACGAGTATCCAAGGTATAAACACGAACGAGTGTTTAAATCAATACGGACGAGTATTGAAAGAAGATACAGACGAGTATCAAAGTTTAAACACGGACGAATGTTTGATTCAATACGGACAAGTATTGAAAGAAGATACATGTGAGTATCAAAAGGGTAAACACAGACGAGTGTTTGAATAACTGACCCGGGTGGGTGTTTAGGAAACTTGACACATACGAGTGCTTAGGAATGGACACGGACTAGTGTTTAGGGAACTGACTACCAGACAAGAACTGGGTTTAGAACGGCAAAGTGTATTGATTTTGTTTGGCATTGACAAGGTGAAGGTCACCGACTGGGGACTTTGGGCATGATATCCTTTTGTAGGGATGTATTGTTGTCCTTGAATAATTCAGGTCTTTCGTGTAAGGTATCTTATCTGGCTTATGCTTCGTATGCATGTTTGAATTTCTTTTAACGCAAAGATCCACTCTGATGGATCAGCTACGCGCTTTTGAGGATGCAATGTTATGTAATGATAATTATATGTAATGCGAAGAAATAAACTTCATGGGGGATAAAAAGAGGCCTATTGGAGACCGCTGCTCATCACTGGGGATGTCAGTATATATCGACGCTGGAAGTCTGCAATACCAAAGATTGCTGGGGATACTGATAAGAATTTGCCCTGGGGAGCCCCTGATACCAAAGATTGTTGATGACTCTACTGGAGATTAAGTTGCCGACGAAACGAGTCTTTAAGTACGATGCTGGATTATGAATCATACCGTTGGGAAGAGATAACCTGGCCAGACTTCCAAACATCCTGAACTGTTGAGAGGATGATAGAACTGAATATGCCGAAGAATGGATACTGAACACCATGTGGATCCCTTCGAATACATGCTCCAAGTTTACGCACACTGGAGAATTGTTTCTTGAATCACTTAGGGAATAAGAGATGGGCATGGATACCTACGAGTGCCCCGGTTGAACTCTGCGAATGCCCCGGTTTAGCTTTGCGAATGCCCCGGTTTAGATCTACGAATGCCCCTGGTTCAGCTATGCGAATGCCCCAGTTTAGCTATACTGGGGTTGCTCTTGATTAACTCTACTGAGGATGCACTTGCGCGTGCTGAGTCAAAAGACGATTCTAGATTTTCTGAATTCACTTGGGGAGTCAGACCCGAAGTTGTCTGTAGTAGATGGAGGCAGCTTCACGTGCTGGCTAGGTCAGGGTGACCGTTATGATGCTTTCAGCTGATTATAATCTTGTGCAACATAATTGGTTTTAGCAACTTTTCTAGTACATATGAGGAATGTCCCTGTCCGGAGGATCTCTGAGAAGATCTATGTTGAATAGAAGACCAGAATATTTGTGCCTCAATACGATATGAGGT